CAACTCCTATCTGAAACAGGCAAAAATCGTATCCGTAGTTACAGACAGATTCCTATAGGTTGCATACAGATGCAGATGGATGCGGTATCCGCAATTACGGATAGATACCGTCAGCATCTGATGCATACAGACTGCGGATAGAAACATACAGGATTCGTATTCGTAGTTGCAGATAAATTTCTGTAGGTCGACATTGCGTACAGATGCAGATGGATGCGGTATCCGCAATTACGGATAGATACCGTCAGCTTCTGATGCGTACAGAATGCGGACAGAAACAGACAAGTTTTTCTATTGCAAAAGCTTATAGATGCTGTATGCCGATAGATTTCCATTAGATACAGTTATACGTCGTTACATTTTCTGTCTGTATTTGCAGATACAATAGTGCTGCTTACAGAAACGGATAGGGCTAGAATTTTCTTTTCAAGCTTGCAGTTACAGCGGATAGGATTTCGTTACATACCGTCAGAAATTCTATCTGTTTCTAACTGTTTCTAACGGTAATTTTTACCAAATTTGTTTATTTGCAGTTACCCTGCCGAAAATGTTCGATTAAAACCGATTAAAACATAATCCGTTTTAATCGGTTTAAATCGGTTTTAATCGGTTCAATCCGCGCCCGGATTAAAAAGTAATCGATTTTAATTCCAAACTAATCAGAATGGGTTTTGATATCGCTTTTGCAGATTATTTCCAATCCGAAATCATTACATTCTAATCCATATTGTTGTCAATCCAAAATAAACACTAATAATCGGATGGATATATAATCCAAAATAATCCGCCTAATTTTGTATATTTCTTTTCAAGAGATGAGTCCGTTTCAATTACAAAAACACCGATTCAATAAAATCGGTTGTAATCCATCTGAATCCGATTTGCTAAGAAAGACAACATTAATCCGTTTTAATTCAAAATTCAGCGATTGCGCGTATGCAATTTCAATCCGTTATAATAATATCCACTTTTAATAATTGAGTTAATTTTGTAATCCGTTTTAATCCAAAATTTACCAATTTCGGGGATAAAAACTAAATTGATTTGAATGCAATAAGAATCAAATTTATATAGTCTGTGATAAAGCAACAGTAATTCGTTTGAATTTGAAATTCTCCGATTTTTCAGATGAAAAGGAAATCGGATATAATGCAATTAAATCAAATTTTTGTTATAATTATATTTGACTGTGTGTATATATAAATAAAAAAACAAAATTGTATTTATTACAAAGTTTTATTTATTATTGAATTTCAAATGTATTCGGAGGTTTGCATAAATATCTACAATATCCAACATCTATGTGAATAAGCTTTGCTTTTGACATCGCTTATGGGAACTATTGAGCTATGTACATAATCTTCTGATTCTATCCTATCCATGTACGACACTTTAAACGGTTTATTGGAACTAATCGTAATTTTTGATATTTGCATGTGGCATTTATTATTTAATAGAATAATGTGCATTATTTGACCATATTCGCCTGAATGTAACTGAATCATTGTATCGTTCGTTCTTTTCGCTTTGCGATATTTCAGGCTGTGAAATACAACGCCTCTAACGATGCATTTTTTATATGCTTTATACATTTTATCATCGCATTTTACGCTATAGCATTTGCCAATAAGAATGACATTGTTGTCATCAGATGTATCGAATTTTGATAAATGTTTATATTGAAATCTGCAGTAGTCAGACACGGCAGAATCATCACAGTAATCTACATTATCCGTTAGAAAGTGCAATATCTCCAAGGACTTTTTCGACATTTGCTGGTCAATTCCGTTTGGACCATTCATACATTGTTTTAATTTATATATATTACTCTCGAAAGACGTAAATGTTGTTGAGGATAACCAAGATTCTCGTTTTTACGATTACTCACCCGAATTGTATTCATCATAATAGTCAGAAAAGTTTGTTCTTTTAAATATATTAATGTTTTGATAGCGAAAATTTTATGTTTATTTTGAAAAAATTGTAGAATAAGATGGAATTTTAATCAATTTGAAAAATTTATTAGTTCATAATAAATTTCAAATCTTAAACGCGTATATCTTGAGATTGCCAGTTACGTCGATTAAAATTCCATCTTATTCTCAATTTAGTTAAAATTGCTGGCGAAGTTAATGTACTTATTTGTTTATTTTGAAGATTTTATTTTCAATTTTAATTGTTTGTATTGCTTAAAAGTTTGAAAATTGATTAAAAACTGCAAACAATACACTCATATTAGGAGTTAATACCTAAATAAACAATAACCACTTGAAGGTTAACGCTTAAATTGTATTTCTTTTGTAAATATTATGCAGTTGAGAAAAAAATAAAGATTTGATTTTAAATAGCTTTATTGTGACTCATGATAACAGCAAATCCTACTCACACTACATAAAATCGATTTACTTTTTATCTGCGAAATGATAACATTTTTTATTAAAAGACATTATTTTTGCCTATGGATTGACTATGGTAAATTCTAGCTAATTCAATTGCATTAAAACAGATTTAATTGTCTATCGCGATGTAATCCGCAAAATCGTGAAATTTCGAATAGCAACGGATTACTTTTATTGTTATTCTCCGACAGATTCACAGCGCATTAAAACCGATTTAAATGTTCGTAAAATAGAATTTCGGATTGCAACGGATTACTTTTGTCATCCTCCGACAGAATCACATCGCATTAAAACCGATTTAATTATAGCTTATGAAATCGTATAATTTCGGATTTAAATGGATGTATATCAAATCCGCCTGAAGCGTACTAAATTCGATTTGACTATTTTTAATCGGTTTTAATACCGTATTTTCGGTGCAGAAATCCCGATCGATTCGGATTACTTTCTTTTTAATCGGTTTTAATCGAACATTTTCGGCAGGGTAGAAGCAACAAAATCATACGTTGCATATTTTGGTAGGGCACGGTTCATAGAATATTTTAAGACCAAGAGAGCCGAGCAACAAATTCTTTTAGTTAGTTTTTAGCTATCAAAGTCGTAGGTAACGGTCGACGCGGAGATAAATAATTTGCTTATTTACAGTTAGGGGCGAGCAAAAAAATCCTAAGTTGCATATTCTGATAGGGCACGGTCCATATAGAATATTTTAAGACCAAAAAGAGCCGAGCAACAAATTTTTATTGCAACAAATTAATAAATTCTATTTCTGAATTTAGTTGATGAATCATTTTTATATGCAATTTATTTTTGCACAATGTGTTTCAAACACCTAACGGTTTTAACAGTTCAGCGCTTACTCGGCATGATTATGGTTTTTTTATGCATTCCTTCACTTAGCCTTCTGCAATTGCATATATAGTTCACTAACAGTATAAATAATAAAAGAAACAAATTGCCAGAACTGCACCTTATTTAAATTTTAAAGAATCGTTTTCCGTTTTACCGACTTCTTACGATATTATCATTTTTATTCACATACTTAGCCATCGTTTTGACTTCTGGCAATTAATATCCAATTTTTTAAGCCTTAAATAATATAAAAACAAAATCGCCAGAACTGCACCTTGTCATTAAAATTTAAACAATTTTTTTACAAATTTACCGACTTCTGACAACGTTTTAGCCCCGCCTTAGACTTCTGGCAATAATTTTCCGTAATTTCTACAGTTAAAAACTACAACTTTACAAAATATCAGAACTGCACTTAAAAATTTTATTTTGATTAAAAATAAACGCGTTTGACCACCCGCCCACGCTTCCTTCCCCGGGAGCGACTTCTGGCTGCAGTGCTACGTGCTTTTCAGATAGTAAGGAGGGTTTTCATATACAAATTTTGACTGCACCATATCATTTTTAATTTTCGTAGCCAGCTCTTAGACTATTACGTCAATTGTAAAACCCCACTTGTGCTACTAAGCTTATCTTTTTTTAATTCATAAAAAAGTTAAATTTAAAATGAAAAAAAGTGTGCAAATTAGAAACTTGCACATTGCTTCCTTATCATTACAGATCGCTACCATTACTCCTATTTTATTTTGCTCATAAAACTTCCTCTATGAGGAAGCCAAACTAATAAATACTAATAATTATGCATCAAATAAAATACAAGCTTCCTCATAGAGAAGCTTTGTGAGCAAAATATTTCATTGGTTGTAAATAAGCATACTAAGACATAGAAATCATTAATTATGCGTAGAAACTTGTTACGCATAATTTCTACGTTTTTCTACGTCTAATTACAACTTAAGCTGACATTTCATGGGCAGTGGAGCAGCAGCAGCAGATCGTACTAATTAGCTACAAAATAGTAGAAGTACTCGAGTTTCTAGAAATTCTCTGTCTTGTAGCCAATCGGTACGATCAACTGCTGCTGCTGCTCCACTGCCCATGAAATGTCATTAAAAAAAATTACCTTTTTCAAAAAAGATAAAAAAAGCGCCAAATACACGCCATGTATTTTGCAAATAAAAAAATCCAACCTAAGTGGTAGTATATATATATATATATATATAGTGATAGTAGTATATATATATATATATATAAAATAATTGTTGTGCAACTACTTTCAAAAAATAAAACCCAAGTGATACATATTTTTGTGCTCCCATTCAAGGGTCTTTCTATTCCAATCCAAGTAGTAGCTTTAATTCTTCTTAACAAAATTATAATATTACAGTGAATTATTTTAATCACAAAGAATTAAAAAAGTAACAGTAAAAAATAAAAATATTTAATTAAAATAAAATAAATAAATTTTTTTTGTAAAAGAACTTGGCACTCCTTTTTTACTCCCGTCGCATTCTTTCCTAAATTATGTTTATTGTTTTTTTATTCAATCGAAAAATTTGATACTAATGTTTAGTACTAATGTTTAAATTTCGAAGTTTAACAGCGCTAAGTTTTTTTACAAGAAAAATTTATTTATTTTATTTTAATTAAATATTTTTATTTTCTATTGTTACCTCTTAAATTCTTTGTGATTAAAATTATTTTTTGTAATATTATAATTTTTTGTTAAGGAGAATTAAAAAGCTATTACCACTTGGGTTGGAATAGGAAGACCCTCAGAAAGAAAATTGTCGCTCATATATTCCGTTTGTTTATAATTAATACTTAAAACATCACGATGTCGGAATTTTATTATAAACATTGTATTACGTGTCTTTTATATGTTATGTATGATGAAACTTACGGTGTTAAGTTGTGCTGGATCAGGACCAGCGATTAAGAATAATACAGTGACGCAAATAATTTGAGTCATCGCATTGTCATTACACAACGTTCTTGCTACCGTAACAGTCGCTAAGGATTGTGGAAAAACATCATACGTTTCACGCTCTCGTAGAATTTCCTGGAACGAATAAAACCAGCAATACAAGTATTAGCTCGTAATAGCTAAGAATATTTTTAGCGCATTAAATAATAAAAATTATGAAATTATTTAATCTTGTATTTTAAACGCTATTGCTTGCAATAAAAAGTCACAGATTTTGGCAGTTACCTTTATTGTTGGAAGTATGGTAATTAATTCATTAAGTGTGGGTGATACTTTCATCCAAAAAGAAGCTGGAGCTAGACAAATAGCCATTTTTATTTTCATGTTGTATTCCGGTCTTGATGACAGAAAAGTGAATAACGCAGTACCCCCCATTGAATGACCGATATAGTATAAATCTTTTTGCTTTGTATAATTGAAAATGTAATCGAACATGGCCGGCAGATCTTTTGTTCCAATCTCGTGAAAGCTGAAAAATAAGAATTATGACGATATATTTAACAAAACATATTTTCTCGCTCCCCTTCCCTCCTCCCCCCCCCACCCGTTTGACAAATGCACGCAATCAATTTACAGTGAGAAAAAGATTAAAAAATAAAAGAATTACAATCGGGCTAATAAAGAGAATACTATGCAAACTTTAACGTTTACAAAACGTGTTATAAAAATTCCTTCTTTCATTTTCATATATGCTTTCGTCTTCATTGCATATTCTTTTAGAAATTTTTAACTTTATATTCATATCACTTGGTAAGTATAAGTACCTACACTTTATTCAGTACAAGTAACGAATACTTTATCATTTTGCTTCATAAATATCTCATTTTTCAGGTAGGTCGTACACTTTCAATTTAAAATGGATTTTTAAACTTGAGGTCTGATGTTCCCCCAAAATAATTTTTAAATTTTAATATTAACGTTTACCTATACTGCCAGAATTTGGGATCGTATGTCGTCATATTTACGTGTGATCTGCAGTAACTATTTCCTCTCACATTTCCAATCCATACATCATATCCTTGATCTGCCAGTAAAAATGCTGTAACACAAAAAATAATAATAAGTTATATTAGTGCGCTATATAGAGAATGTACTAAATTCCAGGAAATGTACATCGTTATTTTTTTCTAAAATTTAAAATTAATTTTTCAAAAATATCTTTATATTTCTAAATCTTTTAATACTTTAATATTTGATTGAGGTTCAGATTATTCTATTTAATTCCACTTTAAATTGAAAAATAACTAACGTCCTATTATTTCTTTGTAATCCTCTTTGAAATCTAACTCATAAAAAATTGCCTCTTTATTTTCAGTAGCTTGAAATAAAATTTATATTAAAATAATATTAAATATTATTACCTGGACATTTTTGTATATAAAAAGAAAGATTTGACTAAAATTTATAAAAGGACATATTTACAAAAACATCGATGCATTAATAATTTTCAAGTTATAAGATTTGAAGGTGGAATCTTCGGTTCTTCACAAAAATGCTATATGGTGAAATTTTACACGATGTTTTGAATTGATTCGCACGTTACGTTAACAACTACATGTTATCAGTAAATACGTACCAAGGTCTTTACCAGGACCGTACAGTACCCAACTATCAGATGAAGCCAAAATGCCATGTTGTATGAATACAATTTCCTTCTTTTTCTTGTTATCCAACAATGGACTACCAGGTATCCTGTGTATTTTCAAATTGTAACCATCCTCCGTTGTCACGTTATGCTCCTCAGCGGGATAATCATATTGTTCTACCAGGCCAATCTATGTAAAAGAATAGCATAATATATAACATCCACAAAATATCATCGTTTCATCTCTATTTCAATTTCGATTTTTTTTTTAAATTAAGTAAAAAAATATTTATACAACATTTAGAGACTTTTGGCTTAACAATTCAAGACGCGGTGAAATTGTATAGTTTAATCTATATTCTATATTAAATTGAATATATAATCTATATTAAATTGTAAAAACAATTAATTTTCACTCACAAAATCCAATACTTTTCCACTGTCCATTCTTTCAACTTGATCTATTTTTCTTACTCTCACTAAACCAGGGTCCTTAGGGAAGAGAAAATTTAGAAATTCGTTTTGAAGAAACAATGGTATGCCCTGCGATCTTTCTTCTGAGAACGTCGTAATAATTAAAAATGCAAGCAACATGGATTTCATACCTGATGTCATCATATCAACTGCAAGGTAGATTATAATAAAATTCTTAACTGTCGGCAATGTTACTTGAAATACTTTTCGTGAGGCAACTGCAATGAGAAACAAACACGCCGCGATAAGTACTGAGTCGACAATAATTAAAAAAAGACGTTATTTTAACACTTTTAATTTTCTTTTGTAGAAATGATAAAGGTAGTTAATTATATTAAAATTTTCTACAAACATGGATTTGTGAAGAAAATAATTGAAATGCATATGCACAAACACATTTAAATTTTTATAAATTTTCCAATAGAAACTATTAATGTCAAATTTTATATAAATATAATTCAAAGTGGAGTCAGGTACGAAATAAATAAAATATGGAAAATTTAATGTATAATGTAATATATAATATGTACAAAGTACACTAGCGAAAATGAAAACTAGAATAAAGAGAAGAATAGATGAGATGGATAAACTTCCATAAAACCATCCTTGATTTTTAAAAATCTAGACACGTTTTATAAGAATAATAACAGATTCATAAATAATCTTCATAAATATTTCGGACTTCTAAAATTATATATGTTAAGTAAATCCTTTGAAGAGAAAAGTTAATTCTACACCGTTCTCTTGCTTAATATAAAATTCTTTAATAAAAAGTTGGTACAAATTCTATATGTTTGTAATAATGTCTATGTTCGCTATTTACAAACATGTTAATATCAAAATATTCTTTCTATGTATGATACATCGAAATATACATTACTTGTTAAGAAAATTGAAGAAGATTATAAAAGGAAACGTCTTTTGTCGTGTATGACAAAAGAATCCTTAAGTATTACGACAGCGATTTGCATGCTTATCGCAGCCCACGTATATATTCCACGAAGACACAATATGCGCCTAGTATACGAGATAATATAAAACTACAAAGAATCTCACCAGTTGCGTTCTTTAAAATATATATACTCAGTACGTGTGCAGTGACGAAACTTGAGATTTTCGCCCTTCCGTAGTTTCTTTTAGTTTCTTTTATAGCGTTTTCGATTTGCGACTCAAACCGACTCGGGTCGCATCATGTATACAGGACTCTAGCATCATTGACGTGGAATACATACATATCTATGTATGTATTCCACGTCCATTGATGCGACCCGAGTCGGGTCGAGTAGTAAATCGAAAACGCCATTAGTCTTTCCACTATTTCAAATAGTACAAAATAATACATATATTCATGTAAATTTTGAAAAACTTTTTTTTTTCTTTACTCCCTATTTTCTCAATAAAGTTGAACAAACTTTTAAGGTTGCCGAAACTTTTTAATGGAATAATAAAAACAATAGTAAAAAATATTACGTTGCAAAATTAGTTTCTTTTTTTATTAAGAATTTGTATACAAATTTCTTGTTCTGCTCAAAAGTTTATTCTTTGAATATTAAGTACTGTAATTTCTAGCTCCGTTACTGTATTAACTAACAATTACGAAATCATATAATGACCTTGGTTGTCAAGGTTATTTATATTCTATAGTCTGATCATTGACTTTTATCCTCTAAAAGAGAATAACACTTCCATTAATAATCAACATTTAGAATAATAATAGCGACGCAAGTAACCATAACAATAGTAGAATTTGAACTCATCATTGTCTAACTGAGACTGATTGATTATTTTGTTATGATAAACTATGTATACAAAATGAACCGACCGGTATGTATGAAATGATATATGCGTGAGCATCTAAAGAAATATAAAATTTAAAAGTAAGTTAGTTTTAAGATAGTTTATAATAGATTCTGTGTTACATTATTCAATTATAGGATTCAAATTTTTTGAAAATTTTACAAATTTTATTTTTCAATTTCATATTTAATTTCATATTCACTATCTCGTGATAAATATTTAAAAAACAATTGAACCGGATGTCGCCCGTACGTATATAAGTTAGTTTTAATTTCCATTAATTTCCTTTATATTCTTATATCTAAACTTTTAAAATCGCTGCATTTTTTAAGTTCTTAACTGTCTACATTTAAAAATCTTAAAAAATTATTTTATTCACACTTTTATTTTAGAAATATTACACATGTATAATCAAATAAAAATTATCAATGCAATACCACAGAGACACAAAGATCTCTGTAAGCACAAACGTATGCGCTTGTTGATGTCTATAATATCGCGCAAATGTATAAACCTGAACATTATATATATATATGATTGTATGTACAAAGTATTTAAATATATATTATATGCAATTTAATGATTATATATAATATATAATATAATATTATATATACATACATATATATATATATATATATATATATATATATATATATATATATAATATTCACACATGTATAGTTTTTATATTGTGTGAGTATTTTAACTTCGCATTGCACTAGTCGAAAATACAAATTATCTCTGAGAACACCATTGTGTAACATTCAATTGTTATGTCGCATCTTGTCGCAATACTAGATGAATTAGATGGACGTCAACCAAGCAGTTCAAAGTCTTCATCAGATGTGTCGTATTGACGTTCAATGTGCTCAAAGTCCACAACTGCACAAAGAATTATATTTGTATAATAATTGCTTGTAAATAAATTTTATTTTCTATTTACAAATCAGTTATCCATAATCGAATCTATTTTAAACCGACAAATATAAAAATTTGTGCTTGTAAAGGTTTCTATTTTGATACAAAACCAAATAATTAATTATCATTACTAATTATGCTAATTCATAAACAAAGCATGTAATAATAAATATAAAAGTGTGTGTATATACATATATATATAAGGGAGACCGGGGCTAACTCGACACTATTTTTTCAAAGGCAATTTTTAATATTTGATTAAAATTTTTAGGCAAATTCAATGGTATATAGTATATATTTAAAGAGTGTTCCTTCAGGTACAAAATTGATTCAGAAAGTTTTGCTGTATGGCTTTGTTTTGCCGCCAGGAAAGGAAAAGTGACGCAAGGACAAATTTTCGAATTGAAAAATGCCGGGGCAAACTCAACACTTTGTCTCTGATCGACACAATTTGATCTGGAACTCATTTTTTACTGTCTGAAAATGAAAATACATTGTTTATTGTGTATTTAAAAAGTATAAAAATTCGGAATAAAGTAGCTAGAACAATCATTAAAAATAATGAGAACAAAAATTGTTGAACTTTCAATTATCTTCATCTAAACTCATGTCTGAAAAACAATTAATGCAGGTAAACTCGCGATCGGACGTGCGCATACATTTGTCATGAGCCATATGGCTGCATGACAAGCATCGTTTGTTACTGGGAGTCGACGAAACGGCGTGATGTTGACTTTGCCCCGGACGACGTTTTTCACTTTTGTCACTTCAAAAACATGAAAATTTTGAAAATATCCAAAAACAATTATCGGATTCATATAGAGCATCAAATTTCCCATGAAAATCACTTACATACAGGTTTGCAAGAATAAAGCTCGATTAAAGAGTAGAAATTTTCGAGAGATCAGAAAAATTACTTTTCATCATCAAAAACGTTTATGTCGCGCTAAAAATTACACCATAACTCAGAATGTCATCAAATCCCGTTGATAATACTAGCACATAAAGACGCATTTACAGTAGGAAAGGCAAGTTTCTACGATAGATTTAAATTAGCAAAAAGTCTAGTGTCAAGTTTGCCCCGATGTCGAGTTAGCCCCGGTCTCCCCTATATATCATCCATTTCTCTATTATAACAGAATTCATCTGTTCTGTCCTTTTCTATTCGATCCATTTTATACCAAAATATGCGAGAATAAAATATAAAATATCTCAAATTAATGATTTTTTACTTTATCTTAATACTTTTATATGCAGAAGTAAATTGTATTATGTAAAAAAAAATCAGTTTTATTTTAAAATATATCAATAACATTCTTTTGTCGTAAAACATATTATGTAATATTTCTCCCTTAAAAATATACTTTTATTTCAAATATTTTAAAATAAGAAACAACTGAAATATATTATTTATTAAATAATACATTAAAATCCTCTCTATTCTAATATACATTTTGTAATAAAACATTTTCTTATTTATATATTTTTATTTTTTAAACGTTTTTTTACGTTTATAAGTTGCTATTTGTGATAACTTAGATACTTACAACTGGAAGCTGCTATCGCTTCCGAAACAGCATCTTCTGCTGGTGACCAGTGTGCCAAACGCTCTGTGCATAGCTCAAATAATGGCTGCTTTTCTGGCAAAATTAATTCTTCTTGCATTGATTTACATAGAGACTTAAATTCCTTTTCTGTGGCACAAAAGAAGCACTGAAATATATATTATAGATTAGTTATTAATATATTAATAATATGTAATCTTAACAGTACCATATGTAATTTAATATACATATGTGTATTTATATAATGTAACAAAAAAAACATAATAATCAATTATATTTCTAATATTCAATAACTATTATTTTTAAGTTCTAGTTCTATTTTATATATTAAATGTTAAAGACGTTATATTGTACCAATATTCTCTCCCTCTCCCTCTCCCTCTCCCTCTCCCTCTCTCTCTCTCTCTCTCTCATAGAGCAACTCTAAAATTTTTTATCTCTTGCTGACTTTTATAATAAAAGCCAAATCATATACTAACAAGCGCCACAGAAGGATCCATGTCCGTAACAGGAATACGACTAGCTGATTTGCAGTGATATGTACTATCCATTTCAATTTCTTCTTCGTTCATCTTATCTTCAATGCTACCTGACCTCTGAGTAGTATGAGGATCTAAATAGATCACCTCATCTCCTAAAAAATATTCATTTTATGCATTTCTTTGGAGCAACTTTCATAAACTTTATATCTTCCTTTCTTTGTAAAATGTGGCAATAAAAGTTACAAACCTACACAGCCTATAAAATATAAAGCAAGATTTGGTTTTCCTCCAATCACTCCGAGAGATTGTGAGATCTTAAATGATGTCTGAAAAAAATTTGTATACAAATCCACAATCTGTATTTTAAACTATTATAAATATGTATATATTTTAGTATATATGTCAACATATCATCAATATTTTGATGTACATGGTGTTTCTTAAAGACCGCTCACTACATAGCATTATTCCTTATAAAAAATTAAGTCGAAAAGTCTGAGCCATTTTCCTCCATAATACTTAATAAAGCTGTAACTATTGAGTAAAGTCAGTCTATTCAGTGTCGTTCTTTAGCTGGACGTAGTATGCGCTCACGGGTATTGCCAGGCACGTGACTCACTGACGTACGGCCAGCTAAAGGGCAACACTGAGTGGACTGACTTTACTCAATAATTACAGCTTTATTAAGCATTATAGAGAAAAATGAGTCTCGACTTTTCAACTCAATTTTTGATAAGAAATAACATTATGTAGTTAGTGGACGGTCTTTAAGAAACATCCTGTATATAGTAACATATTTTCATACAACTACCTGAATTATTGAGATGTTTTTAAATTTTATATATGTTTAATATTTACATACATACACGGAAATAATATATACATAAAAATTGTTACCTTAAGTCCATTAATGTATACAGGATTAATTTCGCTAAGTCCAAGGCGTAGCGGGATTAATAATAACAAAGGCTTCCATTGGCTAGGTGCTCTTAGAGGAATTTCTCCATCTGCCTCTGCTGTCACACCACCTTCTACTCTACATTGCCTTACTGTATAAAATTAAATTGATTCAAATAATATGTAACGTTTTATTATCATGATTGGTTAATTATAAAATATTTAATTATCAGTTTTCCTCTACATAATAATAGTCAAGAAACTTTTGTATTTAGCTTTTTTCTATTTGTAATTTTGAAAACAATTAAGAATATGCAGGGTGCAGAAAAACTAAAAGTACAAGCTTCTAGGCCGGTATTCATAGTCTTTAAGATCGTCTTAAGTAATGTCTTAAAACTCTAATACGGCTCTGTGATTGGTTCATGACATCTTAAGATTGAACTTAAGATGGTC